TTCCCAGTCCGGTCTTGGGACTGTCTGTGTCCACTCTATATATGCTCCCTTCTCATACGAAGGTATTATTGTTTTAAAAGAGTAATTATTATTATTGTTGTTGTACTGAACCAGTGCTTAATATGGGGAATACACAAAATTGACATTTATTGATTTTTATTTGAAGTCTAGAAAATAACTATAATCAATCTACCATTTTTGAAATCTTCCAAAACCCTACTCCCAAAACCTAAATCCCAAATCTCAAACAAAGTCTTAGAGAGATATTTAAGTTTTTGGTAAATTTTTGCTTTCTTGATACACCTAAATATTTTATTTGCACACTGCTTCAAATTCTTGACATTGCTTCCAAGAATAATCAAGAACTCAAAATTTTAACTTATACGGAATTACGGAGCCCATATAATTTGTTTGTCCAAATTTTATGGTGAACACTTGACATTGAGTATATTTTATACACACGATTTGACATTGTCACTTTGAAATATTGCCTAGGCTACATCTTTGTTTTAAAGCATGAAAGATAACTAGAAAAAATGACTAATATATATTGCGTATATTACATATTGCGTATCTTACTTGTGGACTTTACCTTGAAAAAACAGGAGCCTTTTTTACGGTGGACTAAAAAGAAACCAAAAACGGAGAGAAATTGCTAGAATTACCCCTGAAATATTTTCAACCCAAAGCCCCGAACACTTAATGTGGTCATCGTCTTCCATCCCCCCCTCTGGAAAATTGAAGTTGCAGCAACAACAATGAGGTGCAGAGGGTGGTTGGCTTCACAATCGCAGCCGCCGCCAACAGATGCCTCCTCCATGCTTCTTCTCTTATCTGTCACCTCTGTTTGCCATTCCCACATTCTTCTTTTTCTTATGGGTCTGGGGCGTGGTGGTGATAGAGAGGTTGGGGCGTGTAGTGTTGGAGTTGTAGGACGCTGGGGTGATGCAAGAGATGAGTGTGGTGTTAGCGTTGGTGGTCGATGGTGGTGGCTGAAGGCGGTGGTTGGCAGTAATCACTATCAGACCTGGTAATTGTAATTGGTCGAGTTGGAATGTTGGATAACTATAACCGGTCAAATTAGATAACTGTAACTAGCGAATCGGGTAACTGTAACTGGCGGGTTGTTACCCGCACGGGTAGCTCAGTTGGTCGAGCGGTGGGAAAAATTGGACGTAGACCAAGATTCGAATCCCGCATCGGCCAAAAGGGGGTTTTCAGAATTTGAAATAAGGCTGGCCCTCTGGTGCGCACGGGTAAAGGCCTACTGCCGCTTTGCCGACTGAGTCACCGTGATTTACTCCCCCACCATCCTGTCGGGTGGGGGTGGGGGGCCCTTGGGGTTGGGGATTCAACCTTTTTGGACGTAACTGGTGGGTTGAGTAACTATAATTGGTCGGTTAACTTCAAGTGGTCCAATAAGTGTAATCGGTTGTTGTATGGGTCAACTGGGCCTAACAAGGGTATAATGGTCCTCATCCCAAATAATTATACATTTGATTTAAAATTACACTTGTATTATGACTTAATTAATTCAAAGATGCAAAAAAGGTGGTTAAGGCCCTAGTTGTTGTCACCGTTAATGATGTTGGTAATTGGTCAAGTGGAGATGTGCCCATAAATCCATAACCAAATCAAATCTTTGGGAGCCCCAACCTCAAAGAACATAAATATGGCGTCATATACTCCCACCAGATAGTATATAGTTTGTACATGATAATGTCGGCCGTGTATATGCAGATCTAGTAAGAACCACCTGGACTTAGATTCCCACCAATCCGGTCTTGTGATTTTTCAACAGATTTTAGAAAAGAGCTTAATCGTAAAACTTGATAGTGTTTGAGATAAAAACAATTTTGAAGAAATAAAAGTTGATATTGTTTGATAAAAAATGTTATTTGTTTAATAAAAAGAGTGAAAAGTAGTTTGAAGCATTGTCCATCTACTTCTAGCTTTTAACTTTGAGGTAGTTAATTTAAGCAGAAATTATCACTTAAAACACCGATTTCAAGTTTTTAGTGAAAACCATGAAAATTATTTTTTGTCTTTTGCAAACATTCCAAGTAATTTATAAATTACCGTTAGATGGATGAGAGATAAAATTACATCTTCTTCGGTAATATTAACTAATACTCCGTATCATTTATGATTTCAGAAAGTGCATAAGAAATATATTAAGCTGCAACTAAATATAAAATGATTATAATAAAAGTTGAATGTTCAAAGTTATAGATTAAGCGATGTGTAGAACAAGTAAAATTACAATGTTTGGGGGGGGGGGGGGACAAAAAAGCACTTCTTACATTCAACTCTAATAAAAATAACATTTTTGTAGTTGTTCCCAAGATATTACTGAAGTAGAATGTGTAGATAAAAATGCAACTACTATTGTTGGGTTCCTTCCTTAATTGAGAAGTTCATGATAATTCTAAAAATTTGTGGAGATGTCTAGAATTCTCTTTATGAGTGCAAAGAAGTATTGAATGTTCTAGAATATTCTGGAACCCTCTAGAGAGGCGTGGAATCATGTAGAAGTGTGTAGATGAGTGCAGAATATTCTAGAACATTGTGGAGTTTTCTAGAGGTGTGGAATTCTCTAGAATGGTGTGGAAGCGTGTGGAAACAAATAGAACATTCTCAAGCAGTGTGGAGTTCTCTAAGTCCTTCTAGAAGATTAGAGAAGCTTGTAGATACTTCTTAGAAGACTTAAATAGGGGTGGACATTTCGGTTTTCGGTTCGGTTTTCTTCGATTTCGGTTCTGTTTCGGTTTAATCGGTTTGATAGAAAATGTTCCAAATACACATCGATTAAATTTCGGTTTGGTTTCAGTTTGGTACGATTCGGTTCGGTTTGGAGTTCGGTTTACCAAAGTATTAAGGTTTGGATTGAAAAAAAAATTAACTCAAAATAATGAACCAAGAAGCGATAGTAATGAACCAAATATAATGTTAGATATAAATTTGCAAACAGTAACAAAACAGATATGAACCAAAAATTTATAAGCATGCCACATTTGTAAGCAACAACAACAACGGGAATGAATCAAATTATGTATAAAGCCGAAACAAAAACAAAACTGGTGCTTGTAAGTAATGAACCAAATATATAATATTAGTAGATAATAAATTATAGTTAAATACTATCTACATAAAACACTATAATTGTTATAGTTGTGAATGTAAGTCTTGTAGTAAACTCTAGTTTGGTTTAATTTAATTTGGTGTATGTTGGTTTTGATTTGTTATTTTTAAAAAATAAGAAATTATTTCATTTTTAGATTAGTTCGGTTTTATTCGGTTTTATTCGGTTTTATGATTTTCGGTTCGTTTTGTTTCGGTTTAATACGGGTTGGGAGGAATACTACCAAACTCAAACCAAATTACAAATGGTTCGGTTTCGGTTTGGTATGGTTTGGTTCGGTCAAACCGAACCGTTATGCCCACCCCTAGACTTAAACGTGTAGTAGTGCATAGAAAGTTCTAGAGAAATTTTAAAGAGATAAGTATAAATAGGGGTGAAACTCCTCATTCATATGTGAGAGAGCTTTGTGAGAGAGCCTAGAGAAAGCCTTCCGAGAGTCTCCTCAAGTGATGACAGAGAACCTTGAGGAGAGCTCTTGAGTGAGTGACTGAGTGAGTGCCTCCTTGAGAGAGGGGTGTGAGAGTGAAGTAGTCTCATATACAAAGAGTGATGTTAACTACTTGTTTACTTGTAAAATATTTCTTATACATTTCAATTGTATAATACAAAGTGATATTGTTAGATTGAGTCTTTGTGTTACGAGTGAGTGGGTGATTGTACAAGAGTCCATTGAGATCATGATCCTGGAAGAGGTCGGGGGTCGTGTTTTCCCAACAATAACCCGTCACATATTATATAGTGGTCAACAAAAATTACTACAAGTACATGATAACTGTGTATTGTAAGTCATACTTTTGCCCATTAAAAAAATAGAAATGTTTCTCTAATTGAATTTTGGAATTCTATATTGGAAGAAGATTTATGACAACGCATAAAATCATTGAACACAAAGTAAAAATACAAATATTACGTAAAAACATCTGTGTTGGATAGCACTGAATAGTTATTGTCAAGAATTGAGCTTTATAATCACCATTTTCCAATGTGTTGTGCTCAATACTTAATTTACCTAATCAATCAAGTATTTCTTGAATCATATTTTATGGAAAATAATTTTTAAATATCTAGCTTCGACGTTAAAAAGCTGCTTTAGACATGCAAAATAAAATGACTTCAAACGTCTTAACATCAAAGTATCAATAGCTGCGGGTTGCTGGATGCACTTTTTGTTCCCACCTTTTGAATAAATAATGGTGTGAATTGATCATAATGTATGCATACAATTAACTGATCGATCATGATTAATTTTCTACAAGCTAAGCACGCACATTTTCCTAGCAGCATAATTTGCTTGATCTGATGACCATTAATGCAAAACTAAGGTCCAATATATGTAATTCGTAGCCAGCTTAGCCTCAGGTATCGATCACGAACAATGATCTTCGTAAGTAATACTAGGAAATGACTGAGGAATGCCATCCAACAAGCAGGAGACAGGAGGAATAGTGACAGTAACCTGATCCCCATAGGCATTCCAACAGAAAGGGTCTGAATTTCTCTGCCCTTGAGAAGGGTACAGCTCAACCTCGGACAAGGTTAAATTGGTACAAGGAACAGTTTCGCTGCAGGCCAAGTGCATTGGAGGGCTTCTGATGTCAAAAGTTCCCTTGATCTTTGAGTATGTCACGCCTGATATGGACACTCCGTAGGTCTGGTTTGTGCAGGCGGCGACAGCAGCGTGGCTGCAGTAATACTGGTCTATTATTATGGGGTTCCGGACGTTGTCCATTCTTATGTTGTCAAAGGCAACGTTGGAAACGGATCCGGACCCACCCTGCCACGTCTTGATCCGGACTCCGTTGTCAGAATCCCGGATGCTTGAATCGCTCACCTTAATGTTTGATACACATGCCCTACTGTTTTTCATGCCCAGGCTGCCAATACTGCACCCAATCAAATACATATACACATGCATCACTACACTCGAGCACTCATATACTATACTCATCATCTCATAAGACTTGGTTATATTGATTTTTCTTTATCAATGACGGTCAAGTTTGACTCATGGTATCTTTTAAACAAGTTCATATGTACGCACTCTTACCCATGTACTAAAGCACAAAATGAGATTAGTTAAAATATTTTAAAAAAATCCCTGTCCCGTTTTAGTTAGTCATCTTCTAATATGAAAATATTCTTTGTTAAAAATACTTTAAAAAAGTATAAAATTTATATTATAACTCAAAGTTGGAAAAAACTCGCCATTCTTATTTTATTCATTTATTTTATTTTTCTAATGTAAAACTTTGACATTAGAACTTGTTTTACAGTAACTTCAAATTAAATGGTATGCTTGATCTCATAAGCTTCCCCAACTGATTATTCACAATCCAGTCAGTATGTAGTTTTAGAAAAGTAATTATATAATTAGTGTGAAATAGTATGTACGGTGTACCTAATCCCATGACCAGGGCCACAAGTCATGTTGCTTATATCTACATTGTAAGAGCCTGCTCCAATGGATATACAGTCATCACCTAAGCAAAAGTAAGACAAAACTGGATCAATATAGCAATTAGCTAGCAAGTGGCATGCATGAAACAAAGGAAACAATTTGATGGATTACTATACCATTGGAGACTATGGAGTTTTGTATAGTGACATCATAAGTGTTCTCAATGTGGATTCCATCAGTGTTGGGGCTGTGTGGGGGTGCTATGATGTGGAGTGAATCAATGTGGACCTCATTGCAGTGGTCAAACCGGAAATGGAACATTGGGCTGTTCTTTATCGTAAGCTCCCCCACCCTCAATTTTGAGCTTGTGAAGAACCTTAAAGCCTGCTCACTTAAACAAACAAACAAATAAACAACCAAATTAACCTTTAATTATCGTTTTTTCGCTAACTCAGCGTGTATATACTATATAGATAAAATTGACTTGGAGTCAGGCACCAATCTAACTAAATTTAGAGTCTTGCTCAAATTTAAACCTCTTAAGACACGAGTTCTAGGCTAAAACGTCAATTTGATTAGAGGATTAGTCTTTTAATATAGCATTTTATTACTGGATAATGGGGCCGTTTGGATATTAGCGGATTAGAGCAATCCGCCATTTTCCAACAAAGGAAAATGCCGGTATTTCCAGCGTTTTGGCCCTGAACAGCCGAAAAACAAACGTCCCCAATATAACGGTGTGAGACTTCAACAACACCTGAGTTGACTTCGATTAAAAGATCTCATAAAGTCCGGATACGAAATGAGTTCAACATAGTGAAAAAATATATATGAGGATAAATTTACAACATATTGCAATCATATAGTTAAATACTAGAGTACGATGTACTATCATCCGTTTCATTTTAGTTGCAACATAGAAAATTTTATACTATACACATGCTCCACTTTAACTAAATTTTGTTTATTAGTATGAGAGTTATTTATTTGAAAAATATTGTTGAATTCGTCTCGTTATAAATTTTCATAATCTGAGTGTTTTTACTAAAATAGAGAATTAAATATAATGACGGTCAAACTTGTGCATTGTTAAGCGCGAAAATTGAAATGTTGCCACAATAGATATAAGTGGGTTCCCAAAAAAATCTTAAAACCCATCATAACTAATTCAAAAAATACATGCAAATAACTTTATTTATATAACTAATACGGAGTAGTAAAAAAACCGTGTCATTTTTTGCTTATGTTCCTAAACTGATGTAAAGTTGTAAACTTTACATCCTTAATTGACAAATATTGCGTCGTCCCGAAAAGGTTTGCCATATTGACTTTTCTTGGTCAATAATGACAAATTTTGGACAATGATTTTAATTATTATATTTGTATATAATTTATAAATTTTATACTTTTATGAATATATTTTGAATAAGGAACATTTCAATATAATTTTCATATTCAAAATATTTTTTGTATTAAAAAATATCAATGATCAAAATTGAATGTCATTGACAAAGAAAAGTCAATTTGACGAGTATATACATAAGGAGTACATTTTTTCAATAATATGTCAACCTAGGTAGCTTTTCTATATACTAGTATGTACATACCACTGGGCTGTCACAAGGACCTGGTAGAGTTGTCCCATCTACTCCCTGTTACGTTGTGTTTTCAGAAGAGACAAAACAAGAAAGTTATTTTGAAGAAATATATAAGTGTCTCATTCTATTAGTGCCTAGAGATCGAGCACCGTACAATAACAAATACTTCTACTTATGATGATGGAATTAATTACCTTGTGGGGTTTGCAGGGAAGGTTCCACCATTTCTCGCCTCTGCCGTCAACCACTCCACCCCCTCGCATAGACATTCCATTCACTCTGTAGAAAACCAGCCACTGTTTCTTCGTCACATTCTTGGGCCATGAATCCGGTCCATCTGGTGCCATTATGGTGCCTTCAATCTGCACACAAGTACACAAAATTCCTTAACTCTCGGTGACGGGGCCAGAAATGTAGTGTTACGGGCGGCAGCTTAGACATGTCTGAAAATTTTACATTGCACGCCACGCCAAAACTTAAAACGTCAACATATTATTAACAAAAAATGCTTGGTGTACACGTTTTTTGTGTTTTTTGTGTACACCTTTGGCACACTTGTCTGTCTACGCAGACAAAATTCTGTCTGTACAGACAACTCTATGGAGCCCTATGGAGTTGTCTGTATACAGACAACTCTATCTGCGTAGACAGACAGGTGTACCAAAAATGCACACCACACGATTGAGCCTGACACGACTTATCTTTCTTTTGAAAGACTAGCACATGACCTTGTACGTTTTATATATACTTCACTACAACTTTAGATAGCTTAAAAAAATAGAATTCCACATCATACCACGTACAAACATATATACCTGAAGGGTGAGAGGGTTTTTACAAGGGCCACTGAAGATGGTTGGTTGGATCAAGAAAAGGAGGTTAATCGGAGCTAGCACGACGGGTGATGATGAGTTGCTTCGGCACGCGTCGTCCCAAGCCATCTTGAATGCTGACGTGTCATCTGCAATGCCATCCCCCACAGCTCCATAAGCCAGGACATTGAAGGATGATGAGGAGGAGGAGGACGAGGAGGAGTAGCCCCCTCCATCCTGGGGTGCAGGCGCAGCCTCGGGTGCAGGGAAAGGGGGCTGCAGAGAATCTCGGCTAACTCGCGACTTCACAGACGAAGCTTCCACGTAAATTAAGATAACCAAGACAAGAACCCTCCTAGTGAATAATTCCATTTCTTGCTTCTCTTTTAATAAAAAAAAATTATTACTACAGTTATTAGTATTACTATATTAACAATAATCCTATATTTCAATTTGTCCGGCCTGGAGAACAATGCAGCATGTGGGGGCTGGCTAGATTGATCGATTGAAGGGCATATATGTATGTATGTATGTATAAGAGGAAGATCGGAGAAGTATCAGTTAGTTTTCATTGAATTGGGAAGGTTCATAATATAATTAAGGTGCAGTTTCTTATTGAATTGGAAGCTTGTAGTGGTTTTTATAAGAGGAGAATTAAGAGGAGTGAAAATGCAACTTGCGAGTGGTTCCATAGTGGGGAAAAACTGCCTTTTGAGGGTTAAGCTCGGCATGCATGCATCTTATGTACTACCCTAACCTCAATTAATTTCATAGTTGACCTTTCAATATCGATGTTTGACCGTTAATATGTAAAAAAAATATACGTTGTACTTATTATAAACTCTATAAAAACTACTCTGTAATAGATAGTATATTTTTTGAAGAATTAACGGTCAAAGTTAATAAAGTTTGACTCAAAAATGAACTTGTTTAAGAACTAGAGGAGATATTCTTTAAATTATTATAGTTATTAAATAGCATTCTGGTTCCATTTGCAGATAAATGGTTTTTCCGGTTAGCAGATATGGTGGAACTTGAGAGAGTGCTTTCGATGCTGTAAAAATAGAGGCCCAGCGATAGGCATTACTTACTTACGTAGCTTAGGTTCAAAGAGAATCTACACCACGCTTATAATGGCTCAAGACTCAAGTTCGGGACAAATTAATTTATTCATAGTTTGTTAGTGCAATTTTTTTTGTTTCTCCAATTTAGCCCATCTTCTGATTACTTTAAGCATTCGTAAAGCAGAATCCGATATTGGATTGTTTGAGTGAAAATGCATAAGTACTTCTGGGTGCTCTAAATTGCTCCTAGAAGCATTTTTGTAGAAGCAGGGGACACTTGCTTCTGAAAATCTAATTCTGTTTCTGCTTTTAAAAGAGAAGCTTCAGTAGAATCAATTACAAACACCCCCTTATATATTACTCCCATTGACAATGAAGCAAACATATCTCTATCCACACTCAAATTATTTTTTTAGAAAAAAAAATACATATTCAAAAACTACATTATATCCATCATTTGCAATGGAGTCAAAGATTCATTATTCTTTGGCTTGAGATTATGATGGAATAAAGCAAAATGACTCACTAAACTGTCTGCGCTTCTTTGTTATGAAGCAGCAGACAGTCCATGCAATTTTGGACGGGATTTTCACTATGGGTCATCCGGAAACAGTCTCTCTGTGCTTTAGTACAGGGGTAATATTGCGTACATCCGACCCTCCTTTACCCCACCATAGGTGGGGAGCCTTTGCGGCACTGGGGTAAATGAAAATAATGATTCAAAAACTACATTAAAAAATCACAAAGTCGCAAAATGAAAATTCAAATTTGATAAAGGTTTGATATATAAAGAGAGATTAAGAATGGTTCAATTGACCATATTAATAAGGAACAAGATCATCAAATTGAACCGATGTCGTATTCATTTGCAATCTAGTTCGTTCTGATTTCTAGATTTGCCCCTACTTAGCATTGTAATAAAGATCACGAGCTGAGGCTTCCATCAAGATGATGACCAATAACCGTTCCAAACACCAAAGGAATTCATTGAAATTCCTTAGGTACCATATAATTAACTATTCAGGTTTAAGTTAGTTCATCCGTCCCAGTATCAACTCCATTTTCTATATTTCACATAAACAAAGGATGTTCCTCCCAGGTTTAATATACCAAACTCTCTCCTATATATAACACTCATAGGAGTAAAAGAGCAATTGAAACTCATATTTTTGAAATTTGAAACATACATTTTTATTTTTAAACTTGTGAAATACTCTGAAGCTATTTGGGGCAATATCAATATGGGAAAGAGAAAATGTTCCAAATAGATGTAAAGCTAAATAAGACTTATTAACTTTACCTTTCTGTTTTTGCAAGGGCTATTCTGTTCAAACACACATGATGACTCATATATATTTAAGGAATTGAATTTAAAACATGGACCTATAGTGGTTTCAGGGAAACCATTAAACATAACCTTGGTTTTGTACACTACTCAGATAGATAAACAGTTAAACACAAATGCTACCCCATAGAGTGGAGGCTCGAGAATGGCCTTTAATTTGATCCACCAATGCTACAATGATACATAAACAGTTAAACACAAAGCAATTTGGAGCAATGCTATTCAGTGAAGCTAAGAGTGTATTTAGTTTGGGTAACCTTCTTGCGCCTCAATCTCATTCTTTCCAAGATACGGAAAATCTCTAAGCAACAAACTAAATTTGCAAATTGCAATCAATCAAGTGGCTTTGCAATCACCTCAAGTGGTCTCAAATATGTGATTTCTTTATTTTGTTATTATACGCCTGCTATGCTATGTTGGTTAAAGGGTAAAAAATGCTTTCAAGTTTGTTTGAGAGAAGGATCCAAATTAAGATGAAGTTGTTCCCACTTCTACTCATGAAATAATATGGAAGTTGCTAGCTCACACGAGAGTTGTGCATATATAGAAAAATGATATTTGTACACACTATATAAGTCTAAAAAAATTTACTACGTACAATTTTCATTTTCCCATTTTTTCCTCCTCTCCTTCTCTCTCCCTTACTTTCCCTTGTCTCTCCCCTCTCTACCTAGCCCATTCGGATATCCAAAAGGAGATTAAATCTTCTTTTTCTTTTCTTCATCATCCTCTTTTTCTCTACTTTTCATAACTAATTTTTCCATTATTTGCATACGATCAATTTATTATCTATTTCCATCTATTTTTGTTATCCTTTCATCAAATTACATGTAAGTTGATCGCGCATACAAGTACATAATTGATTTGAACATATTACATTTATAGACATTTGAATATTTTGTTCACCTAGAAAATTAGAATTCATCATACATACAACTAAAGTAGATCACACAGACATATATCATCTCTAAGCGGCATAACTATTGTCTGTGTACTAAAATATACTCCCTCTGTCCCGTTGGAATGTTCCCGCTTTTCTTTTTTGGATGTCCCGTTGGAAAGTTCCCATTTCCCTAAATGGAAAGTTATCCTACATCAAACAGGGTCAAACAGTGCAAAACAGTGTCGAAACAGTGTCAACCAGTGTCGAAACAGTGTCAAAACAGTAAAATTTACCACCTGATACGTTTATTTCCTTAATATGTGTGTAGGTCAAACCGGGAGCATTCCAACGGGACGGAGGGGGTATGTGGTAGAATCTATTTGAAAAACACATTTTGATAAAAAAAAATAATAATTATTATTTGTGCACAGACAATTATTACAATTATTACATCTGTACACAGACACTGCACACACAAAGATTGGTTTACACGTCAGTGCCATTGTCACGTGATTATCAATGTACATTTTGACACAAAAATAAATGTACGTGGACACAGAAAAGAGCTTTCTATGCTCATAGGCAATTCCATGTGGTAGCACACTAATTGTACGTGAGTGACAAATTTGTGTAATATGCTGTGTAGAACTCGTGTACAATACAAATTTTAGATCCATAGAATTATTTTGAGGATCGTGTTAGTGATGTGACCGTGTATGTTTAGAACACTCCGTAAATGAGTGAGAGTGATTATTTAACAAAATAATAATGATTAAAATATGTATCCAAATTATTTGAATATTATTTTGTGAAACTAAGGTGATTAGTTAATGCAAATTTTCTAAAAAATCCTTCAAATTTAATTGGAAAAAATGACAAGAATAATCCCACCTTTCACTGGTCTTCTCATAATAATCCCACCTTTAAATAATCCCAAAATAATCTCACATTTACACCTCATCTTCTTTCATTGGACCCTGACCAAGTTTTTTTTACCTTTTTTAAAAAACTTATATAAATAAGGAAAAATTGACAAAAATAATCCCACCTTTCGCTGGTCTTCTCATAATAATCTCACCTTTAGGTAATCCCAGAATAATCTCACCTTTGCACCTCATCTTCTTTCATTGGACCCTGACCATGTTTTTTACTCTTTTTTTGAAAATCATATAAATAATCTTACCTTTCACTTTTCTATTATATCTTTATAAATGTGTGATTATTTATATAAGATTTTCAAAGAAAGGTAAAAAACTTGGTAAGGGTCCAATGAAAGAAGATAGGGTGCAAATGTGGGATTATTTTAGGATTATGTAAAGGTAGGATTATTATGAGAAGATCAGTGAAAGAAGATAGGGTGCAAAGGTAGGATTATTATGAGAAGATATGTAAAGTTTGCAAATTGCGATTCATTTGGGGAAGGAAGAAGTAGAAGATAGACTAATAAAATGATCAATTACAGGAATATAATATAAATAATGATTTCTTTGTCATTTAATATGTTGGTTAAAACCCTTAATTTGATGTAGGCATGTATGGACACCCGGCCAATTCCCGTTCCGGGCTGAGTCCCAAAAAAGTTATAGTGAACCTTCGGATCGGGACCTATAATAATACAAGTTCCGGTTAATGCTCGCCCCGTGCCTGTTTTTTTAAATGTATTTCCAAATATGAAATTAAAACTGTTTATTATAAGGGCATCCCCATTGGAAGGATTATTATGAGATTAAATTGGT